TCTCTCCCTTTGTATACTTTTAGAATCACATCAGACCATGTAATTATTGTTTCAACCACCAAAATTAGCTTAGAAAATTTATCTGTAGGAGGAGTGCCTACTGTATTTACCCCTCCTGACGTGCAAGGTCCTGATGCCAGCCAAAGGATGACATACCCAGCAGGACTTTCCAAGGCTAGAAGTGTGAAGCCTGCTATGGTAATTCTTCACTGGGTACATGTGTTCCAAGGTTCCCTCTTCTATTGTTTCCTTTTGTTTATTAAATTGCCTTTACTCATTCTCCTGGAAACAAATTCTCAGTTTTCCTTCATCAGAGTTTTCTGATTTCACCCTTCACTCATGAAAGGTATCTTCATTTGGTACAGGGCTTGGCATTAACAATTCTTTTCTTCCAGCCCCTGAAAAGCAACGCACCCTTTCCATCTAACCTCGGTAGTTTGATGAGAAATCCACTACCATTCTAATAGATTTTAACCTATGAGAAAAATGTGTTATATTTTTCAGGCTCCTTTCAAGGTGTTTTCCTCATTTTTAGTCCTCAAAAGATTCATTATAATGTGTATTGGCAGGGATTTCAGTGGGTTTATCATGTTTGACATACACTTGCGTTATGATTCTATAGGTTTTCATCTCTTGCCAAATTTGGGAGGTTTGCAGCCATTGATTCTTCTGATATTTTTTCAACCCTGTTGTCCTTCACTTCTCCAGAACTACAAAGGCACAACTGTTAGATATTCTGTTACACTCCCACAGTTCTCAAGACTGTTCATTTTCTCCCCGGTATATTTTCTCCCAGTTGTACAGACTGGGTAATTTATATTGTTTTATCCTTTAGTTCATTCATTTCTGTTACCTCGAATCTGCTAGTAAGCTCATCTCCTAAGCTTTTCCTTCAGGTAAGTATTTTTCAGTTCTGAACTTTCCATATAGTTATTCACCATAACTTCTGTTTCTTTGCAGAGGCATTCTAATGTTTCATTATCTTAAGTGTGTTCTTTTAGCTGTGGATATCCAGTGGTCCAAATGCCACTTGTATAGATGGTCCTTTTCCAACTGAATGGACTTGGCACCCTTGTCAAAAACCAATTGACCACATATGTGAGGATTATTTTTTCTGAGCTCTCAATTCTATTCTGCGATCTATATTTTTATCCTTAGGGCAATACAACCATTTTCTCACTGTTTTTAGCTTGGTCTTAAGAATTGAAATCAGGTAGTGTGAATCCTCCAATTGTTCTTTTTCCATTTAAACTGGTTTTGGCTATTCAGGGTCCTGTGAGATTCAAAATGAATTTTAGGGCAGGTTTTTCTAGACCTGCAACACATACATGAGATTTTGATAGGCACTGGAATGAATCTGTAGATCTCTTTCACTGCTACTGTCACCTTAGCAATATTAAGTCTTCCAATCCATAAGCATGGGAAGTCTTCCCATTTATTTAGGTCATCTGTGATTGCAGGAATGTTTTGTAGTTTGGGTGAGCAAGTCTTTTGCTTTAATCGTTAAATTCACTGCTGAGTATTTTATTCCTTTTGATGCTATTGTAAATGGAATTAAAAAGTTTTTGTTTGAATAGTTCACTGGAAATGTACAGAAATACAACTGACTTTTGCATGTTGATTTTAAATCCAGAGCTTCACATTCACTGTATTTATAGGGTTCTCCCTACCCCTATGAATTTTTGCTTGTGGATCCTCTGATGCTTGTTGTAAATGTCGACTAAAGGCTTTTCCACATTCACAAGATTTATGGGGTGGTATGAGCCAAACTGTGTCTACCCAAAATTCATGTTAAGTCCTAACCCCCAATGTGTCTATATTTGGAGATACTGATGCCATTGTAATTAACCTAGTTATTAATACAGGAATGGAGCAAAAGGGGAGGCCAAACATTATAGGCATGTCATTTGGGCAGCTTCATCAGGAAGCTAAAGCTTTACACTCCTGAAGGAGCCACAAATCTATTCCCTGCAGATCGCTAAGGGAAGGGACTGAACAAGGGGAGAATAGATGCATGCCCAGTAAAGATGGGGTGATGTCTCAAAGGTGCTTTCCTCTCAGTCACACTGGGGAACAGGTCATTGGCTAGAACGGGCATGGCCACTGCATGGGTTCTAAACAAAGGAGTTCGCTCTCTTGGTTACTCTTATGCTGTTGGGACTCTTATTGCTTGGGACACACTCTCCTGTATTTGGCAAAACACAATGGACTAATGGACTGCTGCTAGCCTGGTGCTGAACTGGACCTGGCTCCAACATGGAAAGGAAACTCTGGACTCTGACTCTGCTTCTAGCTCTACTCAAACCCCAGCTATACTTCTATAACTGGATTAAGGGAAATGCGTCTTTGGAAACCCAGGATTGTAATTCAACACAAATAAAAATCACTCATTTTTCCATGTGAGTCTGAGAAAATTAATTTTCTCGATATATTATAAGAACTCTACCCCAAGCACCCAGTGGGGAAGAGGACTCCAATTACTCCAGTAACAATATGGCCTCTAAGGAAGTAACGTTAAATGAGGTCATAAAGGTGGGGCCCTGATATTATAGGCTGGAGCCTTATAAGAAAAGGAAGACACCAGAGCTCTCATATGCTCTTTGTCTCTGCCAGGTGAGCACATAAGGAGAAGATAGCCATCTGCAAGCCAGGAAGAAAGCCCTCACCAGGAACCAAGTCAGCTGGCACCTTGATCCTACACTTCCAAGGCTCAAAAACTATGAGAAATTAATTTCTGTTGTTTAAGCCACCAGTTAGGTATTTTGTTGTGGCAGCCCCAGCAGACTAATTCAGATTTTGGTTCTGGGAGTGGGGCAGTACTGTAACAAACACCTAAAAGAGTGGAAGTAGCTTTGGAACTGTGTAATGGGTAGAGTCTGGGAGAGTTTTGAAGTGCATGTTAGAAATACCTGAAGGGACTGTTGGTGGAAATACAGTATTACAATTTCTCCTTTCAGGAAAAAGCCCTGAGCAGAATTGGCTAAGTGTCATATTATATGTGTAGGCCAGAATATTCTATATAATTCAGATTCAACACATACAAAGTACCTGGAAATGCAGTTTAAAGAGTCCTAACATATGTAACTTGTATGCCTCAAATAACAAACAGCAAAACAAAGCCCTTCCTTCATTCTTTCAAAATTAGTTAATATAGTGGTCCTTTATGAAACAAGTATATTGAGTGCCTGACACTCTTACGGTTATGGAAACTTCACCTTAAAAAACTAACACAGATGCTCGTGCCTGGCATCAATTTTTCAGAAGGAAGTGAATCAAAGGAAAAATTGTATATTGAGAGATATTGGTTATAGACAGGATTCAGTTCAGGGTATGCTAAGGGTCCCACAGGAAGTGGCAGAGTAGGGACGGGAAAAGTAAGCTGGTAGAGCATTCCAGTCTGGCCAAGAATGCTTCTTTATTAACACCAGAAGTGGGAAAGTGAAACATAAAAAAGAAAAGTTTGCCTGTTNGTGGGAAAGTGAAACATACAAAAGAAAAGTTTGCCTGTTATGATAGGGAGCATTCTGAATTATATGCACTACATACACATTTATCCACAGGTATAAAATGTTTGACAGTTGAGAGACACACAGCTCTCAATGATGTCAGATAACATCAAAACCACAGACATTTTTAACTTACATAGTAACAGGCAAATAGCTACCATATGAGCCCAGTATTAACACCAAGTTCGCATCTTCTTTAAAAAAAAAAATCTACCGCCTGGCCAGGCATGGCTCAGTGGTTGAGCGTCGACCTAGGATCCAGGCAATCGGGGTTCGATTCCTGGTCAGGGCACATGCCTGGGTTGCGGGCTTGATCAATGACTCTCTCATCATTGATGTTTCTATCTCTCTCTCTCCCTCTCCTTTCCTCTGTCTGAAATTAATAAAGATATATTTTTTTAAAAAAGAGCAGTTTTTCTGCACTCCCCAGATATTTTAATAAATAAATAAATAAATAAATAAATAAATAAATAATAAATAAATAAATATCTACCTTTGAAATATTAATAGAACAGGGAATACAAATCTGAATTAGCACAGCTGTCGCTTCGTTGTGTAACAGACACAACCAGCACAGAAGTGTCCCAGCGGCATCTATTTAGGTGGTCAGTAAATGTTAACTACATTTGATTATGACAAGTTGCCGTCTTAGAGATTAGAAAATCTTTCTATTAGGACATATATTCATTCAGTTACTATTTATTTCCTACCTGAACTTTCTCCATCCAGGCTCAGAGTGGGTGAAGGCAAAACCTTTAGGGGCCAGACAAATAATGAGTGAGTGAAGCAGGCGCCTCAGCCTTGGGGTGAAAGCAGTGTGACTACACTGTGGAGACAGTTTGGCTCCAGCCACCAGTCATCCACCAGGAGTGTAGATGTAGGACAGGGGAAAATACTCTGTTCTCAGAGAAACTGGCAATCCAGACCTTCAGATGTAATTTTCCAATATAAATATAAAGCATGGATCCAGCCAAACTAAATCTATCTGTGAGTCACAAGCAACAGCAGTTCAGCACCCTAACCTCTACACAGAGAAAACTGCTGTGACCAAAGGCCACTGGCAGCTCCAAGCTTCCCATATGGTGAGGGATAGACTGTCAGTCACCCAGACTCTGAGACACACTATGGTTCCTGCCCCATTTCAACAGAAATGCCTTCCCTCAGCTCTTCACCTGGCCTAGTCCATTAGGGGGTTGGTCAGGGGGCACAGTCAGTTCCTCCCTCAAAAGCTTTCCTCTATTTTATTGGGCCCCAGATATTGCTGGGCGCATAAGCACGAATATCCACTATTTTTAACTTAACTTCAATCAAAGTTTCCTACTTGGTGAATGCCTGACTTGTGAATGAAGCAGAGGAGTCCAAGAGAAGGCTCCAGGTAAGATGGGCCCCACCTCCAAGGTCAGGCTAGGTACGGCCTAATACCAGCAAGGTGTTAGGACAAGACAATGCAATGGGCGCATCCTGCAAGAGCTAGAAAGGAATTTCAGGACTCACCTCATCCCTGGTTGTCAGGAGCCCTGGAGCCATATTCCTTGTGCTCGTCCAAGAGTCGAGTCACGTGCACAGGCAGAGCTGGGGAAGAGAAAAGTGGGGGGTGCTTAGGAGGATCACCCCTCCAGCTAGCATCCCGGTTCAGCAGGAGTGAGGCGCAGTACGGAAGGCAGGTTGTAGGGCATCGCAGTAGCTCATCCTTAACCAGCGTCCTGTAACTACGGCCCCCAGAGCTGGGCCAGCAGGGGGCTCAGCCCCAATGACTGGTTGGAAAATGAAGTCCCCAGCAGCTGGTGAGACTTTGTCACTGTGTGGACTTAAGTGGAAAGGGCCTCAGGTGAGCATTCACATTGAGAAATAAAGTGACCTAACATACTGAAAACAGAAGTTCCCCAGCCACATCTGCCCTGAGGCCAAAGGACAAGGCCCAGGATCGTCAAAACAGAGAGAACACCACAGGCTCCACAGAATGTAGATTTGGGGGAAACTTGAAGCAGGGTGGAAGCTATAGCCTTATTTCAATGTCCCCTCCACTTATATATCCAATACTAGGTTCCCAAGAATTGAAATATGTCTTGAAATTTAAGAATGAGCAGTCAGCAAATGGCCCAGATCTTCAACAAGTCAATTTCATAAACTTTTTTAAATTTATCTTTATTGCTGAAAGTGTTACAGATGACCCCTTTTACCCTGCACCCACCTCCCACCCCAGGCCTTCACTACACTATGTCTGTGTCCTTGGGTTATGCATATATGCATATAAATTCTTTGGTTAATCCTCCCCCTCACTCTCCCACCTGGGCCTTCCCTCTGAGATTTAACAGTCATGCTTCTGTGTTGCTGAATCTATTTTGTTCATCAGTTTATGATGTTCTTTAGATTCCACATATAAGTGGATGGTCTGATTCCTGCCTTCTGTTGATGCCATTAATGTCATCAAGAGAAGTTAATGTCATTAATGGCTGGGACAGATGATCAGGAGAAATTGAACAAATGTTTTACCTTTATCACATTAGATACACAGGACAAATTTGAAAGATAGAGCACCTCCTTTTAAATTTTCATTAAAACTTTGAAAGTTAGAGAACAGCTGGCTCCAAGGTAAAAGTTACTATACCATTTCCCTCTCTATAAAATAAGAATTCCACTATGTAATGTACAAAGATGGCTGAGGAAATAAACTGTGCAGTGCGCAGAAAGCACAATGCACCCTAGCCAGTTTGGCTCAGTGGTTATAGAGTGTCAGCCCACAGACTGAAGGGTCTTGGGTTCGATTCTGGTCAAGGGTATGTAACTGGGAGGCAACCAATCAATGTGTCTCTCTCACACAGATGTTTCTTTCTCTCTCCCCCTTCCACTCTCTGAAAAGCAATGGAAAAAATATCCTCAGGTAAGGATTAAAAAGAAAGCACACCGCCAACATAGGACTTCTGCTCTCAAAACACTACTTCTCACCACCTTTGTTCTTCCGGGGCTCAGAGGCCGAGAGAATACAGCTGGCTCAGAGAGGGAGCTCCCTGGAGATGTTGGGAAGCACCTGAGAAACCACCTGCAGCTCAGCCCACAGAGAAATGCTACACACAAGATACCAGGGACCTGCAAAGCAATGACCCTCTACTGTGAGCAAAGGCACCACAGGAACACAAGGACGCGCCGCCCACCCGAGAAGGGGCTGCCAGGCCCCTCCTTCTCCCCACCTAACAGGCAATGCCTCTGGATGTGGGAGAAGCATGGGGTGCACCAGGGCTGACTTGGGCATGAGAGAAGCAGCTCCGGCCATAGGATTCCCTCCCAGCCCAGGGGGCAGGCTGGAAACCCCCAAGCCTGCAGCTGGGGTCCACTTCACTAAAGTAGCAGAACCTGGAAGGTTCTCTGTCCCTACAGAGTCAGGGTGTGGGTTTTAGAGCAAGCCTGCTTTGAGGTCATGCTAACACCCAGCATGACATCATCTTCCTTGAGCCTATGGAGTTCAGTAAAAACACAAAGCACTTAGCATGTGCTGGACACAAGTTTTACCTCTTTCCACACTGAGGGCAGCTTCAGTGAGAACCCGGATCTGAACTCCCCACCGAGGCAGGGATTGCAGGCCTGGCAGGGGCTCCCGGGTGGAGACAATGCCCACAGAGATGCACACTTGCAGATCTGGGGGAAAGGCCAGGTTCTCGTTAAGTGGTGAATCTGAGGGATGGATCCATGGAGCCTCACGGCTACATCTTGCAATGTTTTCATGATGAAAAGTTGAAAATACAAACTTAAGTGTAGATGTCTTACCCTCCACCCTCCCCGGTAATTCAGAGGGGCAGCAGCCCTGCTGGGATGGGGAGTTCCCTGCCCGTGGGCGCCACTCCACTTACTCTACCCCAGGCCCTTGGAAGGGCCCCCACACTGGCGGGAGCCATATGGACACGTGGAAGCCCCACGCAACCCTTCACCCTGACCCCGCCTGGACTCCCAGCTTCCCCGAGGCTCTGAGGCCGCGGACCCCAGTTCCTGGGCCTCAGCCGCCCCACCACCCATCTAAGTCTGCAAGCCAATGCTCCCCCAAACCCGGGTCCCCGGGCCAAGCAGCGTCTCCACAACCAGGGTGGGCACCACCTGGCTGCGAGCCCCCACGAATACCCAGGAAGGAAGCCCGAGCCGCACACCCTCGGCCGTGGGCGCATCTGCTGAGCCAGGGGACTCTGTTTCCCAAATCGCCCATAATATTCCCGACCCCAAAAGGACAAGACGCTGGGACCTTCGCCCTCGCCCAGAATAAACGAGACCTCCAGGCCAGAACGACCTTTTCCCCCTCTCCCTTCCCAAGTTTCCATGCTGTCCTTCCCTATAGCCTGCGGCCATCCCTGCCTCGCTCACCACAAGCCCGCAAGGACCGCCGCCACACGCCGAGCTACGCCCGCGGGCTGGACTACAATACCCACAATGCCCCGGGGATGGGCACCTACGCTACCCACAGTGTCCCAGGGCGGGACTACAGTACCCACAATGCCCCGGGGATGGGCACCTACGCTACCCACAGTGCCCCAGGGCGGGACTACAATACCCAGAATACCCCGGGGCGGAGAACTTCGGTACCCCCGCTTCTCAGGAGTTCTGTCTGGTGGTAGGACTGCAACCCCCCTGGTCCCGCGCTGCCCGGAGAGCTGCGGGGGCGGGGGCCCGGCTGTGCGCGCGGTCCCTGGGCCGGGGTTACGCTGCCGTGCTGCGGCGAGCGCGGGAC